AGTAAGGTCCATTCGGATAAAGTTAGTTCCTGCAAACTGAAGTTTCCAAACCGTTAGATATCTTCTATTAAAACTTGACTTTCCGAATAAAAAAATATAATTCCAAAAATGGAATATCGCTACACAGAAATTCATTTGCAAAGAAGAACCAGATATCATTGATAAATGAGAGCTTTAACTCCTTGAGTTCTACAGATATCAACATATGAAGGCATGATAGAAAGATAGTTTAAACATAAAATCGCATTATTTTTCAGGCCTAGGTTAGGTGGAATTTGGTCAACCGCTTCTGGCACCTCCCACACAAAGAATCACATTTTGAAATAATCACATGACTCAGGTAAAAAAAGGGTCCGATTGCATTTGAATATGTTACATCGCGAGATCTGGTATGATCACTCCTTTTTGTAGCTCCCCCACAACCGGTCAAAATTGTGTATAACATTAACTATAACACTCATAAAATGGGAAATAAGCATCCGATTCTTTTCAAACATGGCACATCCCAACATTTCTACCGATACAATATCTGATGTGAAGAATAATCTAACGCTCAATTCAGCGAGGCTCTACTTAATATATCTCAGCGTACTCACAAACAGAGATCTGGCGTTAATATGTAGAGAAGGTAACAGAAGTGGGTACTGCTTAGCATTTTCAAAACAGTGAATGCTAACACTTTTTGACATTACGGAGCGAATGAAAATAAAATAGAAAAACTATATAATTGACATACAAGAGAACAGAATAATAAACTTCTAACGGAGCGTGGACTCTATAATCCTGTCTTTTATAACGCAGGATAATCCGAACAAGGACTAATGTTGCTTTACACAAAATATATATGAAGTCATTGTTTCTTCTATTCATCTCAATGCCTATTACATAATATTTAAATATTTTTTAAAAAATAATCTAAAAATAGCAATAAATGAATTTAATTACTTATTTTGATGTTCATAATGCATTTCCGAACAACGTGGTTCAACAGAACCCAATTATTTGCAATATGACTTTTCGAGTCCTTATTAGGTCAGTATCTGCTATAGGCTCCATGTGAATGAGAACACCTCCTGATTTTCGGCATTAGAAGGCTCTGTCGGGTTTTCATTGTGGACATATTCTGCTTAAAAAAATGTCCAAACTTTGATTTATTTAACTTCTCTTCATCTTTAGTTCGTCAAATCTCAGTAATGCATTGTGACAGCAAAATTGCGTAGGCAGTTAGATTTTTGTGTAATCTATGTCTGAGCAATGGATGGTAATGACTTTCAGGACTTTGGTAAAAGTTCTCCAGAATAAAATATGTTTTATCCAAAAAAAGACAACCCCTGCCTTGATTTTAGATTCAATCTTGTGGAATAACCCCAAAATCCATTATTGCTTCGCGGGTTTTCCCCAATGTAAGAATTTTGTGATAAAATGAAAAATAAACAAAACCAACTATTGCCTATTTAAAAGTCTATTTGACACTATAAGACCCCATCATAGTGTTGTATGTTTCTAGTTTCTTTGAAGTTGAGCAACCTTTCTAATTGAGCCCATTTTGGTAGATTTCGTTTTTGAAATAATGAAATACAATCCTGCCCAAATGTTACGTTTGGTTTTTCACCGGGGTTTTTGACCTTGCCCTATATTTACGCTTTTTGTAGTGCTGATAAGTATTCAATACAATTTCACACGAATATTAAACCCGCTAATATAATCCCATGGTAATCCAAAATGCGTGACCTCTGACTTGTCCCTAACTTTCTTCCCATACAGAATTCCGTGTGGATTGGTTTTCAATTATGACCTGAAAAGCGACTGCAAATTCATGAAAATTTTAATTTTTTGGTCCATTTGAACCCCTAAATGTACATCTTCAAATGCAATAGGCTTTAATTAAGACTCAAAACCTACCGCCCATGCATAATTTCGTGAGAATACCCTCAACGCTTAGTCTTGCGGGGTGTAGAACTGTAGAAAAATTGTAAGTCTAATTGAAAAAAATCACATGCGATAAAAAAATATGACAACAATTGAAAAAATGTAACAAATAATGTTCACTTTTTATTGGCGTATTATTGGCGATATTCTTAGTGTACAAAATATTTTGTACATACTTTTGAGTGCGTCTGAGGCGCTGGGAAAATCTAACCATTAAAAATAAATATTTTAAAATTGTCAATTTCCCAGTGGTCATAAAATATCACATGTGTACAATTCAGTGATCTTGTGCGCTGTCGCATACGATAATGTGTAGGATAATAAAGGTCATAACCCACACACACAGATATCGATGCGCCAAGTAGGTAGCCAAGAAGGGACACGTAGCCATGTAATGTTTTCTTTTAAATCTAATAATCCCTAACCCACTTTCATTTTTAATTTCGTGAGAATCGGACTATAATTGCGACCTGTAGCGTGATAACAAATTAACATGGACAGACAAACAGACGGCCGGACGGACATACATAGATAGATCGACTCAGCTAGCCGAGATAGGAAGATCCATATATAGTTTTCTATTTCGTGGACCAATATTTCGAGGTGTTACATAATGTTTGGTCCAATCAAACTTATAATACCCCAACACATATTGTTGTAGGGTATAAAAGTCAGTGCGTTTTGCTTATGTCAACTTTTTTTAAAATACTTTTTGACTTACGTTATGATCATTCAAAATTTTGACCCTTTATGGAGGAGAAAGATATTGAAGGAGTTTACCAATGTTATCCATTTCTCATCTGAACTAAATCTGATATTAATATTACAACGTGCCCGATTTGGACTAAATTGGGATGTGCCAAATTGTTAACAAACCGAACATTAATTCCCAATTTTGTGCAAATAATTGTGAGTCAAAATGTCACGCTTTTGTGGGGTTGGTACGAGAAAGAGTGGGCCAATATATTCCGCATTTACATCAAGTTTGAAAAGAATCGCAGACTTTTTTTCACAAGTATGAGAGATATAGATATTGAAAATTACGACACAAGATCGGATTCGATTTTGTTTTAGAGGAAATATTAGAATATGTGAAAATTGAAGAGAATTGGATGCAAAATTGTTACCCCTTTGAGGGGGAGGTACCAGAAGGAATGGTCCGCTAAATCCCATCTTAACACTAAATCTTGTGTTGGTAGAAAAAAATTGAAGATAAATTTGAAATGTCCTGAAACAATTTGATCCAAAGAAACCTGGGGTCTAAATCGTTATTTCGATGACGCAGGTTTGACCCGCATCAGACGTTATATAGCCTCTGTAGCCACATAGCCGATGATTTATAAAAGATAGCGTTAACTGTTAAAGAATGAATCCGTTTTTATACCCTCCACCATACTATGGAGGGTATATTAACTTTGTCATTCCGTTTGTAACTCCTCGAAATACTCATATCAGACCCAACAAAGTATATATATTATTGATCAGCGTAAAATTCTAAGTCGATTTAGCGATGTCCGTCTGTCTGTCCGTCTGTCTGTCTGTCTGTTGTAATCACGCTATCTTTCGAATGAATTGAGATAGATGGGTAAAATTTTGCACACATGTTTATTTTTCCAGTAGGCAGGTTAAGTTCGTAAATGGGCCATGTAGGTCCACGTTTTCATATAGCCCCTATATAACGGTACCTCCCTATATTCGATATTTTGATGATTTTAGCGATATTATTCACGGGAATTGTTTCAAATTTGGTATTTGAAGTTCAAAATGGATACTACACCCTAAGACGGAAAATTGTCTGTGCAGATCCACGTCTTCGTATAGCCCCGATATAACGGTACCTCCCGATATTCGGGTTTTCGATGATTGTAGCGTCATTATTCACGGGAATTGTTTCAAATTTGGTATTTGAAGTTCAAAATGGATACTACACCCTAAGACAGAAAATTGTCTGTGCAGGTCCACGTCTTCATATAGCCCCCATATAACGGTACCTCCCTATATTCGGTATTTTGATGATTTTAGCGACATTATTCACCGGAATTGTTTCAAAATTGGTATTTGAAGTTCGTTATAGGAACTACAGTCTGTGACAGAAAATTGTCTGTGCGGGTCCAGGTCTTCGTATAGGCCCCATATATCAGTACCTCCCTATATTCGGTATTTTGACGATTTTAGGTGCAATACCCACTGAAGTTGTTTGAGATGTGGTATGTGAAGTTCGTAATAGATGCTACAGCCTGTGGCAGAAAATTGTCTATGCTGGTCCAGGTCTTCGCACAGCTCCAATTTAACGACACCTCCTTATATACGATATTTTGATGATTTTAGCTACATTATTCGCCGTTAATTCAAGTTTCGAATTTGCTTAATGGCTTATGACAAACAATGCATATGTATGTCCACGTCGTATAGACCCCAATATAACGGCTATATTCGGTATTTTTAAAATTTTAACAGAATTTTTTAAGGATTTTATTTTTTAAAAATTTCCAAATTCGTTGAAAATGGTGGAGGGTATTAAAAGTTCGGCCCGGCCGAACTTACTGCTTTTTAACTTGTTTTTAATTGAAGTTAGCCAATAGCGTAAGTGAGAAAATCACTCAATTGCTTTCAATAGATTTAGGCCAAGGATAGTTTCAAAAAAAAGAGTATTTTTCGGTGTTTTATACATTTTATTAAATTTTCCATATATTTAGGTAAGATTCCTGGCTACGTCTTCACAAAAAAAGGTAAATTTATTTTGGTTTTACAACAGTATAAAAAAGTCTTGACTTAGTTTGAGTTTGTACTTATTATTAAATAACTTATGGTTTTGAAATGCTTAAAATGCTAGAAAATTACAATAATGTTTTTTTACGCTGAGATTCACCTCATTGTTACCTGAAGAATCTTGTTGCTTATTCGAAATACGCGATATTTCATGTTCTTTGTTTCGTTTTAGGGCTGGAGTTGCATATATATTGTACAATTACTGTGGTCTCCTTTCACAAGTGTCTTAAATTAAAATAAATTGTTATTTTTGAACTAAACTACTAACTAATTCGAAATAAACATATAAAGCTTTGTGTCCATTTGTTTTTTTTTTTATTTTGTTAATTTACTGCGTTGTTTTGTTTGCTCTGGCAAAGGGTTGTGTTATTTGGTTGTTATTGTTTGACAATGTAGATTTTGGATAGGTAGGTACATAGGTGTTTCCATGGGGTATTTACATATGTGCATGTGTGTGTGTAGATGGTATGGTTGTAAACGTACATCTCGGTCGGGGAAACAGTTCGATGTATCCCCATGGCCATTTCTTCCGGTATATTCAGGCTAATGAGACATTCTCTTCTTGTCTGTAAGTCTCTTCTGGGGACAAACTGAGGGCAACGAGGTAGTTCTTCTCTTTTCTGCTGCTCTCTTTAGGAGTTCATTTGTTGTGTTCAGCGGGTTAATTGCCTCGCGAGACCATGTGAAAAGAATTTCGTGTTGTGCCAGCACGCAATCTGCGAATTTAATTAATTCTCGGCGCACGCGTATTTTTGTGATCGTGACTGTCTTTTGCGCTCGTATGTGTTGTGTTACGAAATCAGTCGGGACACGATGATTGTCAATATTGTCAATGCCGTGGAAGTGTATGTGTCGGAAATAAAATATCCATTTAATAGATATACCTAGACATAATGGAACAATAGGCTTTTTCGGCATGTTAGGGAATCAGTACCGTTAAATTCGACATGGTTCTGGATACAAGAACACTGTCAGCATTATCCAGCAGCCGAGCAGTGTCTATATGCTGCAAACTAACAGTGCAATGCGATCACACGGGTCGATGTTCGGCTCTGGTAATCGGAACAGCAACACAGTCAAAATGCGTCGGTCGCCTAAAGAATAGTTGCAGGAATTTGCTCTTAATCGAAGCACGGACAAATGGCATCGTGCTGTCATTCAGTGGGATTTGTTCGACTACAGTGATTCCGGGTTGTAAAGTGGGGATTTGCCGTTTGGTGTTGCATTCACAGTCGTTACCAACATTGCCCGACTTGCGGTCGCTAGTTGCTGCATTCTCTGGCTGCATGGTCATGTTAATGAACGTGTGGCAACAACTATTGGATCGATGAGGTAGACTGGTCGGGGTGCTCAGCGGCGTTAGATGACCGCCAGTCGAGTTAGAAGAATATGCAGATACGCGGCTATTGTTCCTATTCAAGTTGGCGCTGAGTCGGCTGCTGCAGCTATTGTGCCTTTGTATTTTCCTACTGATCCACCGATCGTCGCAACTCACCAGCCTTTTCACACCCCGCCTTACTCTTTTGATGCGATACGCAAATATGAAAGGCGAACTTGCGATAGCAAGTAATACCATAAAAATTGCCAACTCATTCGACTGTCGGAAATTGGCAGAGGGCATCCTGCTCTGTATGACCACTAGGCAACCGAAGGGCAGGTAGGAAATAAGAAACATAATAACAACCAGTATGCTGATTCGCGCTGCTCGGGATTCCTCGCGGTACTTGAACAGTGACGAGGCGTTAGAAAGCCTGTGCCGCAGGGAAGACATGTAACTCAGAGTCTTCGATGAACTGTGCATGGGTGGTATCTGCAAGGAGTGATGATGCGGCTGATGAGACGATGTTGGGGAATGTTGTTGGCTCTGTTGGAATGTCTGTCCCAACAAATGAATGCCGGGCATGTTCTGTGGCAAACGGCTACCCAACAAATGGTGAGGGTATGTCCCAGGGGCCACGTTGTGTGCCACAAGAGAATTCCTTTGGAGATTGTGCGACGAATGCACCTGACGTATGCCTGGCTCACGATGATCATTGTATAAACATGTTGGAGATGATGTTATACTTTCCAGTACACGAACAGAGTAGTTGGTGTCGCACTCGCCACTAGGCGTTTGGAGTGTTAATATAATGTTTTGCAACTCCTGATGAGGCCTGGTATCATCTGATATTCGCATTTTGACACTCGGATCTCTCTGTGGCCGAGTCGGAGATCCCTTGATGGGGGACAGATCAATCTGCATTTGTAAACCCCCGCCCTGCGATGACGTCGATGCTAAAGAGTTTCGATGGACGAACAGGCTGTTACAGTGTGGCTGCAGTGGCGTACCTTGTTGAGTTTGTGTTAGATTTATTGCGCTTTGCAAAAGGGGCGACGATCCATTCTGACGCATCCTTAAACCATTACCTCGAGCTTCGCTTATGATTCGCCAGTACATGCCGCACACAAATCCAAATGGCAGCAATATTATCAGCAAAAAGTAGGCACAAGAAAATACCACGCTAAAAATGTTACTAGCAGAGTCGAAACTAAAGAAAACCGATGACTCTAGAACAGGACGTTTCTCCTTCCTAATGACGATTTCGGACTCGAAGTCTATTTCTCTTAGGGCGGACAGGGCTCCAAACAAAACTCCCATAGTCCACGTTACTCCTATCAATATCCAAGACTTAACTCCCGAAATGCGGCTATGATAACGCAAAGGGTCAGTAACGGCACACCATGTGTCGCCCACTATTAGCAACACCGCCATTGCACCCAGTGCAGCTGCCATATCTATGGACCACGACCGTGTTGAGAGCGAATGGTGTAAAACGTCGGGGATCTCCCCAGTTGCCTCTCTGGAATCCTGTTGCGGAATTATATTTTCCTCCTCTATTTCCGTGATGACGATAGACTTGACCCCTTCGTCAATGGTGAGCTCACGACAGAATGTTGTATTACATTTGTAAATGGTCTCAATTGTTCGCGGTCTATCAGCCCCGTCCTCTGCAGAGCCTTGGCTGAAATTTCTAAGTATGATGCCCTCCTTCTCAACCAGTCGGCCATTGTGCCGAATGGTCATTTGCTGGTTACCAGGCTTGGAATAAAATTCAATGCTGTCATCATTTTCGTCGCCCAACAAAAGATTCAATCCAGACTCATTAGAACCGGTTGTACTGCTTATACCGTCGTCGCTGCCGTCCGCACCTACGTCGCCACTACCACCACAGCTGAGAAACAAGGTAGGTGCTAGTAAAACACAGCCAGTCAGATTTATTATAAGAAGATTGATGGTGAAGCGATTGGCCGTCGACCGCAGACCGGGTGTCGCCCAAAAGGCAGCCAGAGCCAAGAAGTTAATAACAAACGACACTAGAAGCACAGCTAATATCAAGAAGTCTATTGCCATTATTTAGCATTCCACATACACGCTGTTGGGCAGAGCACGCTTTTACAATCATCCGATATTCGATTCTCCGCACGTCTCTCAAACCTGCTGTTTCTTCTTCGTATATTCACAATATCTGATTACGTATTTTCAGGCATCACTTTGGCGTAATTTTCCGCCACTTAACTATTCCCGAAACTGTAATTCCAGTGCTCAATTTTGGTTTCCAAACAATGTCGTTGGTCGCTTGGCTCAATTTAGATTTCTATTTAATTCTGTGAACACTGCTTTGGATTTTGTTGTATTAGTTGTTGTTGGCGTGATGGTGTTTATATTTCAGACAATACACGAGCGTCGTGCCTCAAACCCTACACGTAATGTTTTATTAGCGAAAAATAGCTATGTGTGTACGTATATCTGTTTCAACGCTGTAGTCTATGTATATAGATATTATATACGCTCATTCGTATATTCGCGTTGGGAGCATAAACGTACTCAGAATTGTCAAACGCTCTGCGGATGCCTTTGTTCGACGGATAGTTTTGGTATGCTTTGGATTTTCATCAATTGTTATTTGTTATTTGATGTTTGTCAAGTTGCCGATCGTTTTCTGTTCTTTTCTTTGTGAAGTAGTTTCTGACCGTTTCCGTTTTGTATCTTTCGTATGCCTAAAAGACATTGATGCACTTTTCGCATACGCTACGCGTTAACTTGCCGACAATGATCCGTACTCTTAAACATTTCAAGCACAACTGATAGTTGAGCGTTCACAAATTGTCTTATGAGCGTGCGACGTACGTGGAACAGAAACAGAGAGCCACATTGGGAAAGCTATAAGCAAATTCTCTCCGATAATGACTGGTACCAAAGAGATGGGATACGGTTGACTGCTGGCTCAGCTCAGGCAATTCCCACGATCATTCATTTGATCGCACAGACAGACCGACCGCATCTGACCATAGTTCCCATACGATACGATGATTTCCTCCGACTCTTGAGTATGGTTCCCGTTGTGACTCACACATTGTTCTCTTTACTGCGATTCTTTGGCGGGCAGGAGATGTCACTGTTCGCAATGCTCTTGCTCGCTGACCCAACTGCTTCCGTTGTGGTGTCTCGCGAAATTCATTCAAAATGACAGAGAAGCGACGACGAACCAGCATTGCTGATTAATTGGTTGGCATAGACTTGTCAGTGGCTGATGATGGGGCCCTTTCCTCTTTCTGCGTCTTGGCGACAATGTCTCCATTTGGCTGTTTAGTTTTCCACAGAAAGAAACCCAAACAGAAATCAATGTACCTACAAATATTTATATGGGTATGGGTATGGTAAACCGCAAATAGATGTATGTATGTGCATGTGGACGTATAAATGCATGTGTCTGTGTGGGTATGAGTGATCAGCAATTTATTTCAACTCATAATTGAAAGTTTTATACACATACGTATTACTGAATATTAGAATAGTGTGATCTTTGATCCGGCCAGGAGGATACCGCAAGTCATTAAGCTGTCTATTCGATTGGGTCAGTACACCATCGAAAGAATGTAGTTCTTTAGTTTCAGATATATGCGAGTAATGATTGTTCAAAATCGTGGCTCGTAGCGGGGCTACCAGAAAGAGTTAACCGCTATTTAGCGCGGTCTCACATGGTCGGTCCCGTCCGACTATAGCCTTTGCCTACTACCACTCAAGCTGTCTTCGGGTTAAATGTTCGTCTCCATATATTTAAATGGGTCTTACATACGAATCACCCAAGTCGCTTTGACTCCAAAGCTGGTTTCAACATTGACACTCCAACGGATAAATCCTGCAGAAGTCTGCTCATCCGGCAATACTTCCCGAAAGGCTGCATCGAAGCCTATTTCACTAAAAACCGACGTCAAAGCTAGGCCAAAAAGTGTAACAATAAAGCGGGTAATGCGATCAGGTAACACTCAGAAACAACAGTCGCAGAAACAGCTTCAAAATCCAGTTCCTATCAAGCAACGATACAAAGGTCAGTCAGTACAATTTGCTTTGCTTGAGAATGGAATCAAACCAACTTAGTACATACACTCAAGAATTTATGTTAACGGAGATGTGTGTGTGTGTGTGTGTGTGCGAACGACGACGTTTTGGATTTGATCATTGCTTCGAAAAGACTCTCTGATGACCGGTTTCTGGGGAATTCCCTTGTAATATGCAATAGATCGTTTGGATTGTATTCAAAACATGATTACAATTTAAACAATAACAACACAGTGGACTGCAATTGAGAATATTTGCAATTCAAAATGTCACTTACGACAGTCGGAAATGACATTATTTACAGATTCCAGTTATACACAGTCATCGCATTTTATTAATGGTTGATGTTAAAAAAATGTTTCATTTTTTATACAAATTTGATTGAACCGAAAATTTGAAACACCTTGAAATACTGAGCCTAGATATTTGGAAGGGAGTTAGATGTACAATAGAAGCCTATTGTTTTGGAGATGTTCGCACATTTTTTTTTTCAAAAATTTCAAATTTATTAGGATATGAAATGGACCTAAACAGATTTTTTTGGTTGGCTATATCGTGGATCCGATCAAAAGTCATTATAATCCTTTTGCAGAATGAAATGGATCAAAACATACATTGCCATGAAATTCATAAAATATTTTTGGAGCGAATGTAAACTAATTCAATGGAATAGTCCCAATACCTTGAGGGGTTCAAATCACCAAAAACGCTCTTGTCTTCATGTATAATTAAAAAAATTAGACGAAAACTAGATCACTCTCCCATCCAATTTTAGGGCAAATCACATTATCGGCTACACTTTCAAAATGGGTTCCTATTGAAAGTTTTTCGAGGAAATTTCACAACGTTTATGATCAGACTACGTACAGTTTGGTCAAATTTATGCCAATTGAGAAAAACATCCCAGACAGAGTGCATCGGTACATAACACACAGAACCACGAGATCTAATATTCCCAGGCATGTTGTGGTCTGCAAAAATTGAAAATGACTTTGAGACTAATTTCACATTTTATGAGATAAATGATAAATCTTTGTGGATCACCGTTGTTCACTTTCGCAACTGGGCAAGGGTGATGCGGGCATTGTGATATGCAACGTAAACACCCTTTGCTTCATTAGACATGTGAATCTTTCATTTAACATTCAAAACATCACATCACACATAAAAACTGATATTTATATTTTTAAAGAAGAGTGTTGGCTTGTTTGTTCGGAATACCGTAGTATTTTATGTCAGACCCAACAAAGTATATATATTCTTGATCAGCGTAAAATTCTAAGACGATTTTGCCATGTCCGTCTGTCTGTCTGTGTGTCTATCTGTTGTAATCACGCTATCTTTCGAACAAATTGAGATAGAAATTTTGCACACATGTATACTTTGCCAGTAGGCAGGTTAAGTTCGTAAATGGGCAATGTAGGTCCACGTTTTCATATAGCCCCCATATAAAGGTACCTCCCTATATTCCGTATTTTGATGATTTTAGCGTCATTATTCACCGGAATTGTTTCAAATTTGGCCTTTGAAGTTCGTAATGGATACTACAGCCTAAGACAGAAAATTATTTGTGCAGGTCCACGTCTTCGCATATAACGGTACCTCCCGATATTCGGTATTTTGATGATTTTAGCGACATTATTTAACGGAATCGTTTCAAATTTGGTATTTGAAGTTCGCAATAGATACTTCAGCATAAAACATAAAATGGGCCATGTAGGTCCACGTCTTCGTATAGCCCCCATATACCGTACCTCCCGATATTCTGTATTTTGATGCTTTTAATGACATTATTTACCGGGATTGTTTCAAATTTCGCATGTGAAGTTCGGAATGGATACTTCAGTCCATGCCAGAAAATTGTCTGTGCAGGTCCCCGTCTTCGTATAGCCCCCATATAACGTTACCCCCTATATTCGGTATTTTGATGATTTTAGCTACATTATAAACAGATTTTTCTTCAAGTTTCGGATTTACATTTTTTTTTGTTTTTTACTTGTTTTTAAAATAACTTCTGGGGAGAATATCCCAGACAAAAAACAAGGGAACTGATGAGGATTGGTGGCTCTTTCCGAAACCTAGGTATTCCCTGCCTTACCCCCTGGTAAACATTACCATCGTTCTCCACTAATAAACAACCGTTGTTTTTATAAAAACAACAATAAAGGGATAAAGCCTGACCATTTTGCAACAACAATATATTTTTAAAGTTTTTTACGATTTTGATGGTTTTTGTCACAATTTCCATATGCTTGGCTGTATCTTGTCATTTAGGATTGCCGGTGAATAGTCGCATCCCTGCAATGCCCTATTTGGTATATGTGTTCCTCATGGCGGAGTGTGTTTAATGTTCGAAGCATTCAAACCTAAATCGATTTATGATTATTTATTCTTTAAACGTTCTAACATTGCGATCTCTCTAAGACAATCTTGATCACCAGTTTCACTTCCAGGTGGAAAATTCCAATTGCTAAGTGCACGCATTATTGGCGATAAGTTTGTTGACTCCGACTGTGTATATCTAATGCATATGTGCATATCACATGTAGTGTATTTGAAAATTTCCATTCCAAAGCTAATATTGTCATTGCAACAAGCTGCTAAACCAACAGAATCGACCTGACCTGATAAGGCAAGGAAATCGGGTGCTCTTACAATTGGTACGGTTGCCTCAATCGTGGCAGTTCACTCATTCCCACCCAAGAAAAATATCAACCACAACAACAATTTGGGTCATACCGAATTTTCCACAATTATGCAAATGACGTATTTTTAGTAAACACAATCGTGCCGACAAATTATGTTATGTAGCTGATGTCTCGAAACCGGCCTGTTTAATTTATAAGGTGTGATGATATCCGACTTTTGGTGTTGTTTGGATCAACGCGAAAATGATTTTTTTTTTTTTTTTTGAAATAAATTTGCATTCTTCCAGCCTGACGTTATGCTGTGTTTGTAGCCATTTCTGGTGTCATTAGGAGAAGTAACCTTAGAAAAATAAAATATCAGGATTAAATATTAGCAAATGTTTCATCGATTGCCAAGCGCAGATAAAGTCTTCAAAATACCATAAAGTGCCATTGTTTGGCAGCAACTGGAAAAAGATAATAACCTACATTAGGTTTTTGTCAAATTCGACTTTATATAAATACAAAATTTGGAAACAAAATTAAAGATATTTGAAATTGATATGAAATATTCAAAATACAGCATATACGGAAGTACCTAATGTCATTAGAATACTGAATATCGGGAAGTCCCGTTAAATGGGGACCAAAGGAAAACGAGGACATGCGTAGGCAATTGTCTGTAAGGGTGACTGGTATCTGTTGCGAACATTAAATGACAAATTTGAAACACAGTCGTTGAAAAAGCCATCAATATATTGAATACCTGGAGGATCAATTAAACTTATCTGGGTGCGGGAATGTATGCATCGACAATATCAGATATAAACAAAAATTTTGTATATTGCAAATAAGCAAATAAGAGGAAGAGGATGTAATTGCCGGCATCGTACTTCCTGGAAGGCTCCCTTCATATTATTCCCACACTCGAAAATTGCACATCGGAAAAAATACTCAACTTAATCGTTACAACATACATACAGACATTTTTAAGTTGTATGCACAAAATACGAAAATAAGATGTCCGTTGACCACGACTTCCCCGAATACAACAGAGTCAACCTCTATTGTAGTGTGATGAGCACACAAAGGACATTCTTCCAGTAACCGTAGCATGAATTTAGCACTCGGATGAATGACATCTTTCGGAATTAAAAGTGTACGTCTTTCCTTAAGACATATCTTGCAGGGACAGGTTAATGAACTGCATAGAAGGTGTGTCTGTGTCGTTTATGCTCTCATTGATAGCCTTTCGTAATTGAGATAACACCTACAGGTATCAGATTTCCATCCTGAACAATGACATTTTTTATTGACTTTTTGCACACATTCCATCCGTACTTTTAAAGGGAAAAAATGATGCCTTTCGTAATGAAAAAAAGCTATTCCTGTTAGTATGTGTGTATGTTTCACATCGTCACCTGAGAAAGATCGTACAACCAGGCCATACATTTTGTCTCTTATGTGCTGGTTGTTTCACATATCAAAGAGAAATTTGAAGTTCCGCTTTGTTACATTTATGCACTGCTGTCACATAGAAGTATTCACCGGCAGCATGATATAATAGGCTACGAAAAAAAAGAGATGACTCATACCTACAAAAATTGGGGTTTTTATAATTCCACCTATTGCGATGTCATCGGTAAGAATATGTGACGTTTTACAACTAAGACAAAGAATAATATAGATAGGACACATTGTAGAGACAAAAAAAAAACTGTCACCAGGTGGATCTAACTCTGTTGTAACGATTTCATAAGCAATTTCAACCGCTTAGGTAAGGTATTACAGGCTACGGAATTTACACAAATACCTAGCTGCAGTATGCTGACAATTTCGAGACTGCAGTTTTTCGTTATTCCTTTGTCTGCTTTATATGTATATAAGTCAACGATACCAATCCAATCGTTTCTGCTGAATTCTTATGTTTCTTTCTGAGTGTCAAATTGTAAACACTCGAACAGTTGTCAAATTATATTCGAAATTGGAGATGTGTGATATCGATGCAGTTCATTTACCTCAATATTGCATGTTACTGTCTCCAGCGCCAAGTTTTTGGCATTTGATGATCGGGTAAGTGTTGTGGGGGAATATAACCTTGGTCGCACTCCTGTACCCGAGCAATTTGTAATTGTTTGCACTACAGAATGGATGTGGTAATTAAATTGTGCGTTTATTTCGACATGGTTGTGTGATATATATATATATATATATATATATATATATATATATATATATATATATATATATATATATATATATATATATATATATATATATATATATATATATATATAAATCTGAAATTTGGTATTAGGATCAAGTGTAGCAAAAGTACTAAAATCAGCGACGTAGTCAGGCCTGCAATGGCATATGAACCATATTACCATGCAGTTAGCAATTATTTTTCTACACCAAAATTGCAATCATCCGGCACCTATTCTATATAGTTGGAACTGAGGAATCACACAACCATGTATATATATATATACACTGGTGGCCAAAACTAAAGCAACTGAAATTACAAGGAGAATGAATGCCCTGTAACTTTTTCATAAAATTAAGAAAATGGGAAAGTTTTTCTTGTTTTAAATTAGGTACTTTATTCACTTTTTAAAAACCTAAAACTTAAAACCAAAATTCATTTTTATATAAAAAAATTATGTTTGGTAAAGTCAATTAACCCGATTTTGGCTTGGACAAAACAAAAGCAACTCTGTTGTACATTCATATAACCTCTGCAATTTCAGTTGTTTTTACTGTGATATTTATCGCTTTTTGCTTCCTTCGACAATTTCGCTTGTCATAAATCCTTTTTGAGAAGTTTTTTACAACAGTATATGTTTTTCTTTTCGTTTTTTAAGTACTGCCAAAAAAAAAAATTAAAAATGGCTAGAAACAAATACTGTACCTGAATAAAACAGCAAATTATCAGTGATTATCAAAACAACATATCACAGAAAATGATTTCCGAGAAATATTTCATAAATATTTATGTGATTTCATAATTATGTGTGTGCACTAAGTCGGATGAAGGCCGTGAAGAACTTCAGCCCATACTGATCCACAAATTGTGAGAGAAATAAAAAACAACCATTTAAGAGTTCAACCGGATTGTTGAGAGAGCAATCATTGGATATAAGCTCGAGATCAGTGCGTAGACGAGTAGTGGCAGCTGGTCTGCGTGCCCGTAAGACATCAAAAAACCATTTATATCTGAAAAAATCAAAAAGGCTTTCGGAAACGACAATATTAAGTGGAACCAAGCTCAATGGAAAAAACATTATTTCATATTTAATATTAAAGGCTCAGACGTGAAAAATTTTACGGTGAGAAGACCAAAAAATGAAGGACTCAAGCCGCAGTGTTGCAAAGGTACAGTGAAGCATGGGGGAGGGTCAAAAATGGCGTGGCGCTATTTTTCTTTCTATGGATTTGGGTCTATCCATAAAATAAAGGAAGTTGTGGATCCGTTTGTTTACAAAGATGTGTTGGACATCACGTTGTTCCCTAACGCTGAGTAAAATATTGGGCTGATTTGTGTGTTTCAGCATGACAATGATCCCAAACTTGTATCAAAACTTGTCAAATATTGGTTGCGGGAGTCAAAAATTCATGTTTTGTTATGACCGGCACAATCACCTGACCTAAACTCCTTAGAAAGCCTTTGGAGTATCGTAGATAGGAAGATCAAGAGAGATTCGGAAATAAATAAGCACAACATTTTCTAAAGAATTCGGGGTGCCTGGGAAAGCACACCCAAGGATCAAATTGAGCGTGTTATAGATTCAATGCCTCGTAGGTGTGCAGCTGCTATCAAAAATACTGGTTATGCTATCGACTACTAGCCAAAATTTAATTATTTTAAAATAAAAAATCAAAAGTTGCTTTAGTTTTGACCAAGCAAAAATTGGGTCATTTTAGTTTTCTACATATTATTTTTCGTTCAAACTTAGTTTTGTATTTTTATTTTTAGTTTCTTGAAAGTGAATTAAACCCCTCATTTAAAACTGGAAAAATAATTACGATTTGTTTATTTTTGTAGAAGTTACAGGACATTTATTGTCTTTGCGATTTAAGTTGCTTTAGTTTTGGCCACCAGTGTATATATTAAGGAGCAAAAACCAGAGGGATTACTCTTTTTGTAACTTTCGTCTTCAATGAACACAAAAAACTGTTTTAAAATTTTTCTAAAATCAAAAACATTTATAAACATTAACTATTTTTTTTACATTTTTTTATACGAAACACTTCCATGCATTGACGTAGCCAAAAATGCCTTTTGAAACCATTTCGTAGGGCTTAGGTATTTATTTTGTACACGAAAAATAATGATGAAAATTATGTGTTCTTATGATCTCAATATTTTAAAAATGATCTCTATAGGGGATCCTACCGAAACTAGAACCTATATGGACAGTTTTTTGCAAGGATTTTTCAGACGTACTGAGAACACAAATAGTGAACCATTTTTAATACCAAAAAAATCTTTGGACCTAAAATACATTTCAGTGAAATTTTGTTCACCTACTTAATTCCGTTCGGAATTTAGACTGATTTCCACAGGTGGAGAGACATACGGATGGACATGCATATCATCTTGTGCTAATCAAGAATAAATACTTTGTGGGGTCTAACATGCTCATTTCGAGGAGTTACAAATGGAACGACAAACTTAACATTCCCTCCATAGTATGGTGGTAAAGTATCGTTCTTTATAGTCGAACAATAAGCCATAAACACATTTTTATGGTTAATTGTTGTCAACGTACAAACTAATGAAACCCGCAAATATTTATAAACATATATATTCCCGTTTGTAACTCATCGACATAATAATTGTTACCTGGGTTAATATTAGCCCAAGTTTTTCTAAAACCATTTCCCTATATAAAAGCATTAACTTTGGTACAGTGAAAGCAAGGATAAATCAAATGTCATATTTAGCTACTTGTGTTATTTCCAATTATATAAAATTTGAAAAAATGCGTTTTTTCACAACTTTCTCAAACTTATCCTGCCTTGAATTCATTGTTCAATGGCATAACTTCATTTTTATCCTGTTATTAACATTTTTATAAATATTACTCATTTCATATTTAAGTATAAAAATTATTAATTATTATTAAATTAAATTATTTAATTATATTTAATTATTATTAAATTAAAATTAAGTATAAATTATGTTTTTGTTCTAAATGGTCAGAGAATTCACCTTACAATGTTCCTCTTCCGGCAGTTGTTCTTATTGAACTTTCTCTAAAGATATAGTTTATCATTCTGATTTAGGATAAAGGAAATGCTAGAGATATATAGACCATTATGGATTGACCAGAACTTTACATTGTTGAATGGAAAGAACATATCGTTGAAAGCTGCCAGACTAAAATTAGAGTTTTCAATGTAGCCGAAAACTTATTGTAAAGCAGTCTCCACGACCAACCTTTGACATAAGCGTGCTTCAATCTGCTTATTGTACTGGAATTTAATTTTTGTAAACTTTGTAAGTCTTCACAATAGTTTTTTTTCGCAACTGAGATTTGGATATCCCCCTGGACACGCTGCACCTTTTTACCTGTCCAGCCAAACCTACATATATGCCATAAGCCATTATTTCAAAGTTAACATAACAGTTCTTAAAAAGATTATGAATCCTAATTCTGTTTTCAGCTCCGGTCAAATTTTATATACATTAGACTGCTAAATGCTAATTGCAAAAAAAAGACGAAGAATGGTATTTTTGTTATACACTTGAAGATCCTCGGTCCATACGAATTCTATAAGTAATATGTCGGCTATAAGTTTCGGACCACCCTCACTTACAATATTATTATTTTTTTTCTAAAGAAGACACAATCCATGTATTTAATAAATATCTCAATTGCGATTGCTTTATGCAAATCACATTTTATTTTCCGTTTCATAATTGATTTTCATATTTATTAAACGTAAAATTCAGTACACACATAACTCAAATTTAACCTAAATTTACATTTTTTAATAAAACTATAGATTAAACATTTTAGCTTTCAAATTAAGGTCGATGGACATAGAGACTATGCCGTGTGTGCTTTCAAGACTTAAACACGTTGATAAATAATAAAATAAAATGCATCAAGTTTTGGGTTTTCATAAAAGAATCTTAATAAAGTATTTTATTTTATGATAATATCAAAAATATACGTATGTATATAACTTGTATGTTAAAAAATATGTGATTGTAGCACCGAACTCAATTTAAAAACTTCAAAATATTTTTGTTTGTCTGCTATATGAAATTACACTTGTTTGTGCGTTGAGAACACAGAATACTTTTCAGAACTTTCGCTACTTCAATATGTAGTAAGGCATTAAAAAAATGGGGCATTTTAATTTTCCGTTGTTAATGATGAAATATACAAATAAAAAAGCTAAAAGAAAACAAAATTAGCACTTACAATTCTTAATTTTTTGACCGTGGCCTAGAACCATTAAATTTGTTTTCCTTTTTTGCATATTCCTATTCTATGTAGTCTCTCATTTGACAAAAATGAAAAAAACGAATGTACCATCTACAGAACTTAAAGAAGTTCGCATTTGAACTTGCGATTTATATGTTTGTTCGTCTTGCGGCCCTTCTTACCCCTATGTTCTTTGTCTTTGCGTATCTCGCGAACCAGAGTATAAAATGCATCGTCCACGCCCATACGTGTTTTGGCCGAGGTTTCTACGAATGGAATACCGTATTGTTTGGCGACCTGTAAAGAGGAAATGCTAACATTTCGCACTGTTTGTTGAAATTATGTCTATTACCTCTCTTGCTTGGTTCATGTTGACGGCCCACGCCTGTAAATCGCATTTGTTGCCGACCAGAACCATTGGCACTTCCTCAGCATCTTTCACTCGTTTAATTTGTTCTCGATATGTGCCAATGTCCTCGAATGATTTCGCGCTATTTACAGCGAATACCAGCAGAAAACCTTCACCTGTGCGCATATATTGATCCCGCATTGCAGAATATTCTTCTTGGCCGGCAGTGTCCAAGATATCCAGAAGACATGTCTCACCATCTGCAAAAATACAAATTTCAATAGAGGGCTCTACAAGTAATGTAGGAATATAGACTTACCTATCACTACCTGCTTGCGGTAAGAATCTTCAATTGTTGGATCGTACTCATCGACAAAATGGTTTTGTATCAGCTGAATGGTTAAAGCTGATTTACCAACGCCTCCGGCACCCACTACCACAAGCTTGTATTCCGTCATTTCTGTTTATGTTATTAAGTTTCGAGCAACTTGTGCGATCCAACAGATGATAATCTTCCCCACCAAATATCCACTTTCGATCTGTCTTGTTTGTTTATTGTCTTCCTCTCAGTTGTGCCGTCGCTCTTCCCAATGATAGGTGTGTGCGTGCGAGAAATTCTATCTGCAGAGCAATGAGCACAAAGAAGACAAAAGAAAGTCCAAGCAAAAACACAAAATGAAGTAAAATCATTAATATGCAGACATCAATTAAAAAATATACACATATTGTGTTCACATTTCATCTAAGTAGCGGCAATAGCTTAAATCACCTACATGGGCATGTACACACAATGTGTGTACATACGCACGAACATTCACACATATGCATGTCTTTTTCAAAACACTACATTAAATAACAAATAACTTGTTTTCCCTTTGTCGAAAACTAATTCAACTTGTTCAGGTTCTCTATATATCACTCAATGGCCTGTATGCCGTGTGGGAGACGACAAGCAAAAGCCAACTAAAAGTTCCAGCCTCCTCAATCCTCACACTTTACAAATGGAGGCAATATTCTAGGGAGCGGCAATCAAGCTCAAGTTGTTTTATTTTTTTTAACGCAAGAAATTCTGAGGATTACATGAGTCACTTTCCAAACAGTTGCTTTGCTCTAAAGAATGTTTTTGTTAAAAATATTATTTAATCTCTGCCGAGAAGATGAAATAAATGTCACAACTCATTTGTGTTCATCCATTCACTGATACCTTTGTTGTGCAGAATTCTTTACTGTAACACTTCACTTGTTAAAACACCATCAGAAACATGATTTACCAAATCAAATAATTCTCGCAGATACCAAGAGCACAATTTTTTCTTCTTTTTTAAACAATAAAAAAGAATGTCAACTTTGTCTATCTTCAAATTATTGATACGCATCAGGGATGCATAAATTTGGTAACTGTGTTGGGACATGGATGTATGTAAACGTACAAACGATATTTAGTGCCAATGGAACCAGTTGGTTCATTGTATTGTTGTTCACACGCAACGATTTGTCGATCAACATCTGTCAGTAAGTCATTTGTACTTTACAACATTTTTAGTGAATCCAACGGGGCTTCAAATGCTACCGCCAATTTAGCAAAAGCACGGTAATTTTTCAGTGTTGCCTACCAAAAATTCTTAAAAAAATGTACGTAAGTCCTTTTGGATTTACATAATGCAATTTGTTTTTAACAATTTTAATGGTCATCATTTCCTTTATAATTTTTCCCATTTCCTTTCCCCTCTATCCATATCCAGTGGGTTAATCCATTTATATGTAAACGTACTTTTACCTTAATTCTATTATCTAAGTTCAATAGCTGATTATATGAAATTTAAACCTTAGCTGCCAATATTTAATAGTTCTTGCACTATGGGACTAAATATGAGGGTAGCTTGTCATTTTATTTTATTTTTATTTATAAAACTTGTAAAATTGCACACCTATTGCAAGAAGAATTTTGTCCGCAAGAATTTACAAACACCATAGACAAATTAAAATATAGACAACGAAATGCTCTTACCGATTATCTTCGAAAAAATCGGATCAGGAGATGTCGTCTATATATAGACAACGAAATGCTCTCACCGTTTATCTTCGAAAAAATCGAATCAGCAGATGTCGTCTATATCGTTTCAGGGGTTTGAGTGAGAATATTAGAGTCACTCAATTCTAAAACATTAACAATAACAAAAACTGTAGGATATTTGTCAGTTGAAAATTGTTTCATAATAAAAGAAATATGAAAAGTACATGATGAAATCGAAAAATTTGGAATAATTTTGAAAATGTACAAATACTCTCAATTACTCCAATTCCAATATAATTACTCCAATTTTGATAATAAGTAATGACTTGATTATGAGTAAATATTTTTTGAATAGCCTGATCTTATTTTTCAGCTATAGGCTTTAATTTGAGTGTTAAATACCTATATGATAAAGAACATCTATAATAGCCCCATGTGAAAATTCAGCTTAATTTTTGTAAATTGAAATAAATTGTAAAAGCATTCAAATGAGCTATAATTTGAAGTTTGTATTTCCGTACTGCGTGGTATTCAGTTTTGTCCACCTAATACTTGAAGGCAGAATGTTGTCAGAATAGCCAAAAATTACTCTTTTGCTCCGATTATCGTAAGATGGGCATTAATTGTTTGTCATTTAAATTTTGCGGTGGAGATCCAATAAAATTAATTTATAATTTCGTATTTTTTTCATGTTTCTGCCACAATTTCCGACTTAATGAGTCCCAGATTGACATTTCGGAGATTATTTCATATAGACGTACATCCCAAATCTACGTTCCCAACCAATATTCTCTTGGGGGTTGCAAATTCAATAGAATACCAAACTTTCTTTTCTGACCACACATTGGTTGGGAAAGTGGACTTGGGGGTATACTAATGTGGGGACTATACTTAAATAAATGCCTATGAAGATAATTAGGAAAATGATTTTCTACCCCAGGGTTTTTTACCCCAGCCTCAAGACTAAGATGCGCCCTTTTTCGAGAAATAAACATTTTATAAGAAGAGGTTTTCTTCCCCCTTAGAAACAAAGAAGGGCTAAAAAATGAAAAAAGTGGCCAAGACCCCGAAAATACCTTAAATCATATGATGGTGATACCAAAACGTGATAATTTTTTGCAAAGATGGTTTCTTCTTAAATTATCAACATAAGCTAAAATTAGTACGAAAAATATGGTTAAAATGTAGAATATACTTGAAATCGGGTTGTTCCGTTATCAGGGGTTATGACCCATATCATGACCTGCCAAAGCGATTAAAGGTATCTTGAATGTTTAGGTAGAATTTCTATTTTGCGTTCTTTATAGTCGGCATTTGACTGATTGCAGTCCTAATGTATTTTGCATTTTGTGTTCTCATTTGACAATTTATTGTCATATGAAAGAAGCAGGTCCACTTTTTGAAATTAACCCCATAACGCTTCTTCGGTCATTTTTGTTTGTTTAAATGTGTTCGCATCTTCCAGCTGAAGCACGATGTAGGTCCTGGAGTAGAAAGCATTTAACATCGTATTGCGCCCTCATTTCATTTTTAATATTATTCAGAAAAGAAAAAGAATCTTCAACTGGTTCGCTGATTTTTTTGCGGCAAATTTTTAAAGGTCCTTACGAAGTTAGTCGGTAGAATATACTATTATTTTGAAATTCGATTCCATTGAAAAATTGTCGATTTTTCCCGATTTTAGAATTTTCATATAAAGCGACAACGGATAAAATTGTTATTTATAGATTTTATGTATTTATTAGGTATTTCGAATAAATACATAAAATCCATAAATAACAGTTTTATCCGTTGTGGCTTTATACTACCCAAAAAAACCTACACATCATTTTAGAATTCAAAAAAAAAAAAACCAAAAAAAAAACAATACAAATGTACATTCGAAAATAGTAAATCAAAATAGAAAAAAAGGCAATATAAAACATTACTATTGTACATTTTAAAAGTCAAAATGAAAATGTTCAAATTTCACATTTTTACGCGATTTTTTTGGATTTTATTCTTTTCTGCCAAGAGGCAATTCCAAATTTGTCTGAATCGTTAAAATCACACCGGCGGTCTTTATATTATAAGAGTAGTAACTAACACAACTTTCTTTTACATATAGAGAGATACATTTAAAAGTAGGCGCGTTTCTCAGCCCCTAAATAAGTACTTAGGGTTGGATGGAAAGCCAACAGCATCTCGTGTAATAATTCTCAAACCGATATCTTCACTATTTTGGCAAATATAAAGATTTTAGATAAATCGTAATAGTGGGCGTAAAAGTAGTCGTGGTCAAAATTTTTTTCTTTAAAACCTAACACGGGGTATGACGATTGTTTGTAAAAAATTATTCAAATCGGCCCACCCGTTCTCAACTGATTGCATTACCAACGAACAACAATTGATTTATATATATAGATTCTTAATTCAGCATATATTGTTTAGTGCTGTTTTTCGACATATAACAAATATATTTTGTTGTCATTTTTAGTTCAAATCTATAAGTTAAGCTGACAATTGGATGAATCTGTTTGTCTGTTCATATTTTAAAATGTATTTTATCTTTCACACATTGTTTTACAAAAATGATTAAAACAAGTAATTAATACTAATACCATTTTGATATTAAATTAATAACGACGAAATATCGACGCTAACTTCCCGTTGATCCGTTTTATTTTTGTCCTGGGAAATTTTGATCTTTTCAAGAGCTTGTTTGTGCATAATTGAACGAAAATGAACCACTAAATGGGTCCTTCTACCGAATGCTTTGTCGCACACATCACACCTGCAAATGGAGATAAAAGAGATCGGAATGGAACGGGAGATTGCAAACTGCAAACTTGAAAGTTGTACAAACCTAAAATGCCTTTCGCCTGTATGAGTTAGCATATGATTTTTTAGAATATAGGTACTGGTGAAGGATTTGCCACACTGTGAACATGTAAAGGGCCTTTCGTTTGTATGTGTCCTTTGATGTTTGATTCTTGTGCTGTAGTCGGTAAATTTTCGATCGCAAAACTGACAAGCGAACGGTCTCTCGCCAGTGTGTTTCCTCATGTGCCTTCTCAATTCGGAGTTGGTGAAAAATTTGTCAGGACACAACCTATAAAAAGGTCCATGTTATATCTTATGAATAAGTAACGAATAATATCACCAATTACTCGCAGGCACATTGTCTGTCGCCAGCATGTCTACGCAAATGGAGTTTAAAATAGTGACTGCAAGTGAAATAGTTACCACATTGGTCACATATAAAACGATTGGGATTGTCTGCTTTTTCCTTTTTACGCTTTTTCGCTACTATGGGATATTCCTCTTTAGATTCTTCCTCTCCCCGTCGCGATAGAGTGGTTGCAATTTTATTTCTTTTTTGAAATTTATTTTTTTTACGCTTTGGCGAAGTCGATTTCGAATTCTCCTCGAGCGTACTAATAACATTATTTAGCTGTAATGTATCGGAGCGGAAGGTCATTTCATCGCCTGACTGTGTATTGTTGGATAAATTTAAATCAACTGTGCTATCACTGGTAGACCACCTATCGTCTAAATTGGAATTTTCTTCTTCATTTGGGTTTATTTCTAATGTGTCTTTTTGATGTGTTACACAGAAGCCGCTTTCTTTCCTGTGTACATTTCCGTCTTGGCTTTCAATACTAATTTCCTTCTCTTCTATTATATCAGTCTCTGATTTAACTGGGTCCTCCTCCTCTTTTACACAAACGTGAAAGAACTCTGTTGTTACTAAATTTTTGCATTCTCCGACTGTTCTCTCGTCCTTTATTTGGTCAGATAGTAAAGCCTGTGCCCTTATGACATTTTCTCGAAATTGATATGCTTGTCGCAAATTTTGATGGCATGTCGAACACATTAACTTCGGAAGACCACTGTTTTCCAACTGCAAGAAAAAATATATGTTGCGAACAAAACTTTAGCATTAGCATAACTTCACATTTGCATTGAATGTACCAAAAGCCCCGTTATATCCTCAATTTGAGCAAGAAGCTCTTTGTGTCTACGATCAAAGAGTTTTAAAGCCTTCCCATTAATTTGCTCTTTTGCACATGTTCGACAAATATGTTCCATTGCTTATAAATCGGTTTATATGCAATGGAAATAATGTTAAAATATTTGTTTGTCTTCTATAAATGAATAAATGAGTATAAAGTGGTCATTGGTAGTCGGATATCTGCATTCAAATGGATCAGCTGTTTGACAAGTATCGAGTAATCGAATCAAAATTGACTGACTTCACGATTAGTCGGATAGCAGAAAATTCAAATAGCTAAAGGCAAATAAACTTATTAGTGTGGGCTTACACTAGGGGTTTCCTCCCATTCACCCCAGGGGTTTACTCTCATTCGCAAAGAGAAGACCACGTCTTAATTTAGATAGGTAATATTACTTCCGCCCATTATTTTCGTGCCCTTTTGGAATTGCATCATGCAAGTTCGTTTACTCGATAGTTTGTACAATTTTGTACAATATATCAATATTGTTTGCAGACGGGTGAGCACACTAAGTCAAGTTTTGTTTTATTATCATTTATTTTTGTAAAAAAAATGTAAAAACAAATAAACTAAACTCCATCAAACTATTTCTGTTGTTAAGATTTACATCAAAGATAATTTGATGTATCAGCTGTTATCTTACAAATGTTTTTCAATATGCTGTTCGTTGACTTTTGCTTTTTTCCCATCGACTGGGAAAATGTGTGCTTTCCCATAGGCTTTTTTCTGAGTAAATTTTACTGGGAAAGTCAACATTTTTCCCCATCGACAGAGAAAATGTGTGCTTCCACATAGACTTTTTTCTGAGCAAATTTTACTGGGAAAGTCAACAAAAGGACCTATACAAAGTCCGAATTTGCTTTAGGCAAGTTTTCTTTGTGGGAGAGAGGTGTAGAGGAATGTAAATGGTAAACATTGCTCGCATTTGCAATTCCTTTTGTTTTTTATATTTATACAAAAATATAAATAACAATGACAAATTGCGCTGATCAGAGTTGAAAATTACGGAAAAATTGTCCTGTATAAATGCGAGAGGTAAGTTCTAAAATTGCCAAAATTAATCCGCAATACATTTAGCGTACGAAGTTTTAACCCTTTCAGTGTTTTTGTCAAATATATTTGACATTTAAAAGTACTCTCTTTCTTTGCCATTTTTTTGTTTTTCTTACGAACCGTTATTTTTGATATTTTTAATAACAGACACGTTCGCTATTTAAAAATATTGCAGTTCTATTCTATTATGTGGCGTTTCCACTGCACTTGATTCGCTCTCTATTCGTTGTTTGACCCTTAACTATGAAAAAACTACTTAATTCTTCACACAAAATTTCCTGAGCGAACACTCATATTTTTACATTGTTCAAATCAAATCACTCTCAGAACAACGAAAAAATTTGTCCCATCCCTAACAAATGAGAGCATTTATCGAAAAAATAAATTATGACATTTAAAAATTGAAAATAGAAAAATTTAATGAAATTTTGATAATTTTTGGGAAGACTGAAAATTATGAATTAAAACTACAATGTTGAATAGCGTATGTACATTCAAACGAAAGTAAATTTTGTGTTCTCTCTCATCCGAGGTACGCATTTTGTCCACGAGTTGAAATTTCCACAGAAAACTGGAAACAAAAGAGGCAATATTTTCAAAATGTTTGTATCGGCAGAAAAAAATGTTTGACAAGTGTCTCTCCAGCAGAATTAAAAAACAGAAAAATACAAAAATATGTTAAAATGTCAACATTTACACAAAAAGTTGAAAACATGAATGAAAATTATAAAATTAATGATATAATAAATCTTTGGGAGAAAAACAATAATTTCTTCTACTCATATTAGTGAGAATTTAATGTATTTTAGTATAAATTCCCATTAAAATCTACAAACAAAATTTTTGAAAAAATGAATTATTTTACTATGAATTACGAATCGTGCCGTGTGAACGGGTTAATTCGTGTACCTAATTCTGAGAGCGAACAACGTTGTTCGGTTTTCAATGGAAACATGCTATTAGTTTCGTTTTCGAATTTCTGAGCACATTTTAGTAAATTAGTACGGAATTTCAGATTTTTATCTCGACAAAAATTTTCATTGACACTGAAAGGGTTAAGGCTCAAAAATTTCTGCACTGACAAAACAATCTTCTTTTTTGTGTGTCGAAAATAGAAACGAATAATACAAAAAATGTAAATGTTTGTACTTGGAAAAAGTAACAATTAGTTAATTTTAAAAATATCAATTTTTACCACATATTTGTGTACGCTACTTGGAATGTTATGTAACGCTGTAATACCTAAATGTAATTATGTAATTGGCAAAAATGAAATTTTTATAACCGGGGGAAATATTTAATATCATCTGTTACCATGAAATATAATTAAAATATGAGTGTGCCAGTAAATCAAAGTCTAATTTATTAATTGATCGCAGTGCAATGAGTACTGTTTTACAGTAAAACTTATGATAATTTAATTAAAATACAAATATAAACTTTGTTGACCGATTCAGTGCCTTCGCGAGGAAGAATAAGACGACTTCGAGCGAGGTCTAGTGGTTTCTCTGTGATTTCGCGAAGAATGGGAGGTTGAATAATACCGAGAGCTAGCTTTGCGTCGGTTTTTATAAGATTCGTCTTCATCGTCCGAGTCAGTATCGTAACGACGTCGACTATAAGAACTACGATTTTTTCCATAAGATGAATAATATGATTCGCTCCTTTGGTCACGGTGAATTCGTTTTTTGGAAGACGAACGTCCTGAGTGCGAACGACGGGAGTGGGAACGACTTGAGTCCTCCGAAGAATCTGTTATTGATGATTCTGAACTCGTGGCAGATGTTGAAGAACTTGACGATGATCGTGATCGTGATCGTGATCGGGACCGTGAAAGCGAGCGTGTACGTTTTTTATCGGAATAATATTTTTTCTTTGAATACTTGTCAATATGTTCGCTTTCATGGTCTGGATCTGTGTTACGCTTGTTTCTCCCTCCCCCTGTTACTGTCGATGTTGTGTTTTTCATATTGTTCGCAACAATACTTGGGTAGTTGTGTTTTGGCACTAACGTGTTAATATTGTATAGTGCTAAGCCTTGATTTGCTGCAACCTGGGAGGTTGTAATGTTGCATAAAGTCGGGGTTGATTGTGCTTCCGTAATACAGGTGGAAGTGGTTGCAATTGTTAAGTATTTGTTATCTCGGTTATCGCTAAATCGCGTCGTACGTTCTTTTATAGTTCCTCGATCCCTATGTCGTTTACCTAGGGAAAAAGTTTGAAGTAGGTATTAAAATTCTCCAGGCTCAATATATATCTGTAATTATTGTTATTCTTGTGATATACATTCATATCATATACGGTTGGAAAAACTCTGCTAATTTGCAAAGAATAAAATGTTTCAGAAAATTTAAATGTATGTATCTCGTATTAGTAACAGACGCACCGTTTATACTTTGTAACTTTGTTTCAGTTGCCTCACCAGATTCATCAATAATATTACCAACAATTTTACTGCTGCTACCTGGTTCGGGTTCATTTGTTACCATTTTCGAATTTTCCAAACAGACATTTGTTTCTACCCCAAATGTTTTGCGGGAAATCTCGTTCGCTTCGTCATTTTGCGTACATTGTTTCAACTTTTCAGCTTCTCTAAAGGCAGCAGCAGAGACACGTTCTTCAATTTCAGTTGCAATTTTTTGAAACGACCTTTTCTTCAAACGCAGAGATGCCTAAACAATAAAATTAACCATTAATACTAGTTTAAAAATTTGTCTTTCCTACTGTACCTTAATATCTTCTTCGGAATCATTACCACCCGAGGAAATGCCGTTCTTTAGAGTGGACACGTTATCATCGTCACTACTGTCATCACTGGAGCTATGACCATAAACTGCTAATCCTATAAGTTATTTTTTTATTTTAAGCTAATTATTGCTTTTTAAGTGGTTACATATAAAGCTTTTCTAAATCTATTGATCTTCCGGACAATTGTAATAAAAAAGCCGATTTGAAAACCCTTCTATTGTTTTCTATCTTTCGAAAAATATGTAATTACTGGGAATACATTATTGTGCTTCGATATTTCTATTTTCTAGTCGACCTTTATTATTTACTTAGTTTGTACGGAAACTGTATTTTAATTCTGATTAGTACCAATTGATTCACATCTTAAGTGCAGTTAGGTTAGCACTGTGTTTTAATAGCAATTTTAATATTTAATTTCATACAATTTTTTATATTTCCTATAGTCGATTTTATAAACACGAACTGATATATAAAATATAAAGATACAACTTACCTAATTTGCCAGTTATATCAGACAAAGCGCTATTGTGGACCACTTGTGCCGATGATGCTTTGGAGTTTTATAAAACGTATATATGTATGTAGTTTTAAATAATAAATTTTAAACAAATTGATAGTAAAGGATATTCGATAGTCGAACTTTTTGTTTCAATATGACTTACACAAAAATTTGTTTGCTGGGGGATTAAAAATATATATGAACACAATTTGAATCATATTAAATACCTTTCAATTTGTAGTTTTTCAGAGTTTCGTTTGCTAGCTTTGAAATTTCTTCATTCGTAACTTCTAATAAAAGCTCTGTCAATGTTTGACGTACAACAATCATCTATTAAATAGTAATTTAAGAGATTTTGTTTTTTAAATGAATAACATAAGTTTGTTATATTGACTAGTAAGAACCAAATTTTTATATAAGTCTAACTTACCATTTTCTCGAGTCTTTGTTCGTATCTTTCTGGACTTACTTCTGATTCATCAATGTCCTCCTTTAATAGATCTTCATTGAGGTCCTTTTCAATGACATCTGAGCTTGGTACTGTATCGTCTTGTTCATCATATTCGTTTCCCTAAAAATATTCGGCACATTTAACCTTTAGTTGGAATTCTGCTAATTGTGAGAATAATTGATCTAATTTAAATTAAAAAAATAATTTTTTTTACCATTTCCTTGAGCTCATTTGTTTCACTTTCCTTGGATGATGTCGGTTTTGCAAAAGCTGTGCCTCCAGTAGGGAACTTTTCATTCTCTGTTATCTGATACTTGCCCTGTTGCTTCTGTTTCTCTCTCTCCATTTTCTCCAAACCTTCCCTATAATATTCCCTTACAATAAGTTATTTATTTCAGATTATAAACGTCAAGCTCTGATACCTTATCCACGCTGGCAGTC